CGCTTCATCAGCCTGGAAAAAGACCCTTCCCGGGTGCCAGGGGCCAAGCGCTGCGACGCTGAGTGTGCTCCGATGGGGGCGGCCCTGCTGACAGCGGAGGCTGGGCACATGGGGCACCCCGAGTGACAGCCGGGCACGCCAGCCGGTGAGTCACCGGCCAGCGGTCATGCGACATCAAAAGGTGGAGATGACGGAGATGCTTGGGCGCAGGTGCCAAGGTAAACCGTTGGCAAGCGCGACCCGCCCGGGATTGGAGATAGCAGCCTGCCGGGAGGCCGCGCTTCCGCCTGGAGGAGCCGCAAGCTAAACTGGGGAAACTCGGGGCTTCCCAGAACATGCACTTGTCTGCAAAGAGCCGTGACCCACTGATCCCACGCTCTCAGGCCGCGCTTCCCATCCCTCCCCCCGGGAGGTTCGCGCTGCTTGCCATTCATCAACCGGTTCACACCGGCCAGGGCCGCCGGTTGTGACGTTAGCGGGAAGAGCCCCGCCCCCGCGCCGGCAGCGTCCTGCATTGCGATTGGCCGCCGCGGGTGTGCGCGTCGCGCCGGCTATAAAGGGGTGGGCTTGTGACGCAAGGGCGCCTGGGCGCGCGCATTGGCTCTGGGCTGCGGCCGGCTAGCCGACGCTCCGCTCTGGCCGCTCACTGCATGGTCGTCTGGTGCCCCCGCCGCCTGCATCGCCGCCGCCGCCGCCCCGCGACGCCTTTCCCCGTCTGCCCTGCCGCCGCCTGCGCCGCCTTGGGACCGGCTGTATGATTAGGCCACAATCTTCAATGAGTAGACATATTCCTGTGAGTACCGCGCTGCCCGGCCTTTGTTAGCGCAGGCCGCGCTGAGTAGGGCGGAGGGTCGCTGGCGTCGGTCCCCACGCGGAGGCCCAGGCTGGGGCTGCCCGGCGGGAGCCGCTTTGTGGCCCGGGCCGCCCGGCCGCTCCACGGCCTTTGTTCGGAGAGGCCCAAGTGCAGTGCGGGGAGACGTGGCCGGGGCGGGGCGGGGGCGACGGGGACCGGGACGGGGCGCCCGGGCTTCCAAGATGGCCTCGCCGGCCGCCCGCACACGGCCGTGGACCCGTGATTGCGGACCTCGCGGTTGGCCGCTCGGGGCTGTGGCGTGGGGCTGCCTGCGGTGGGGCTAAACAGGAGCCAGCCAGAGCCGGATCGTGAGTTCCGGTGTGTGTGCCACCCTCACCCGTGGGGCTGTAATTTACACGCTGGTTGGAACCGTCCACTTGAGGTCCAGATTCAGAGGCAGTGCTTCCTGGCTTGTTTTTTCTGTGTTGTGTTGGCTACCAGCTGATCAGTTGAAAAGCAGAAAGCTAGATCATTCCCAGAAGTAAGCAGCGTTTTCTGTGTGCCGGATTAGGCGCCTTTACCCGAAACCCGAGTGGGTTTGGAACAGAATTGGATAAAGCAGTTGGTTCGACGCGCTAATTGGCTTGATTCTACAACAGATGTTTCGTTTTGGATCAGGCGTGGTTGCCTGTACACCCTTCATCCCAGCGGAGGCAAGCGGATCTCTGAGACCAAGGCCAGCCTGGTCTATGTAGCCAGTTCCAGGCCAGCTGTAGCTACGGGGAGACCCTGTTTCAGAAAAAAAAATTCATTGCTTTACGTTCGTGTGTATTATTGTTACTGCGTACATTTAAAACGGGGCAGGGGGGTTCCTGCCTATTTCCGAACTGCCTCTCTTGCATAGTTTTGACCTGTTAGGGATGGAGGGATAAACGGAGGACGTTACTGGTCACCACTGCTTTTATCGAAGTGTCCTCCAGCCACTGGGTGGCTCCACTCATTAAAAAACAGTTCAGGAAATGAATTCTTTGTTACTTTTTCCACCTTCCCGGTAAAAGCTTTCTAAATGTCGAGTATACAGTCTGCCAACAGCCAGAATCAGGAGTATTTAGGACTTAAGACCCGTTCTCAAAAGATAGATAACTTAAATTGTAATCTCTGCTCACTCTTAATTCACCTTTTTTTTTAAACCCACTAAGCAAATACCTAGTGTCATCTGAGGATGCATTTGAAGAAACTTGGAAATAAGTTGTCCTCCTTGTGGAACCTTTTAGTAAATAACTAAATACTAGTTCCTTTGTTTTACCAGAAAAATAGACTGGAATCCTGACTTGATACTGTCTGTGATCGATAGATCACCATATGAATTCTCTGATATTTAACAGTTTCAGAAACCATGACTAACGGATTCTATTTAAAGAGGTAAAATGAAGCTGGAGTCAGATGTTTCAAGATTTTTATTTTGACTGTTTACCATTAAGGATACATATTTCATGTTTGGGACTGTGGCCCACATTTAATGCTTTGTTAACCTGCAGTACATTTCTTAGTCTCGGTACACAAACCGCTAAGAAGTAGGTGACCAGCAGATAACTCTGAAAGTATGCTGTGAATATTTAATATTTGGTATTGACATTAATCTGATTTAATTCTAAGAGGATTTGTTGAGTTTATACTTGTTGGTGATAGTAGTTACCTTGCTTTTGAGACCAGTGTAAAAAAGCCCAGCTATCCTTTTTTATATTTCAATTGAATTTTTGTTTTAGGCAAGAAAAGTTAAATTTGATGAGTTTTTGTTTTGTTTTGAGACAGTGTCTCCCTGACCTGGAACACTACTATATAGACCTTAGCTGGCTTCAGTCTCACAAAGATCCACCTGTCTGCCTCCTAAGATTTGGAATTAAAGGTGTGGGCCACCACTGGTCTAAATTGGAGGTTTAAAATACAAAAGAATGTTATTAAAATTGTATATATTTTATTTTATTTATAGTTAAATGGAAACTATTTCCTTTAAAGTATATGGATATATCTTATGCTTCAAATAGCAAGTTAACCTCTAGTGGTCTATATTCCTCCCAGTAAATGGGAATAGGTTCATAGGTTAAGTATAAAGTGGGATTATTGGATTATTTGTATGGAAGTACTTTGAAGTTTGTCTTATGATATATTGGATAAAGGTACCCCATAAAACTTGAGATTACCTTTTGGGGCTATCATTTGTTTTTTAAAACTCTTTTTAGTTTGAATTTTTTTTTGCAATTTAAGAGATGAAAGTATCAAAGCCCTTTTGAGTTCAGTGCCCACAGGCCAGAAGGAGGCGCTGGATCCCCTGAAACTGGATTGATGATGGTTGTTAGCCACCATGTGGATGTGGTTGCTGGGAATTGAGCCCTAGGTCCTCTGCATGAGCAGCTGGTGTTTTTAATCACCATGCCAGCTCTCCAGCCCTGGAGTTACTGATTTTTAAACAAGAAGTTGCTGTATGATTTCTCATTGAGAGTAATCATTTAGTATAATGTGTAGAGTTTTTTTATACAGCCAAGAGTGTCTGACATCAGTCAACCTTTCTTGAGATGAAGCCAGCCTGACTTTGTGGCCAGGAGTGACCTTGTAAGTCCCTTCAAGATAGAAAGTCCTGCACTCCCACACACTTTACCACCCACATTTACTGAAAGCTCTGAGTCCATGTACCTTTCCATACTCTTAACTGTATAAAGCTGTGAATATATATAATTTATCTTTAAATGGTAAAAAAGGAAACCCAAGATGATAGAAAATACAAAAGGAATTGGAAGGAATGCGGTGCCAAGTTATTTGTCTAGGCACACATTTATGAAGTAACATGAATATCTACAAGTGTTCAGAGATAGCACATAGGTCTCTTAGACCAGAGGGAAATACCTTGATACTTTTTTCCCCATCTATACATTTTAATGTTGGGAGAGTTGAGTTATAATTGCTAATAATGTATTCTAAAGCTTGTAGTTTTATATGGTATGTGGCTTTTTTTTAACCTTATATTCTGGATTTGAGTCTTTGGAAATAGTTTTAAGAATTCAGGCGCTAGAGAGATGGCTCAGCGGTTAAGAATACTGATTTGTTCTTGCAGATTACCTGGGTTCGAATCCCAGCACCCACATGGCAATTAACAACTGTTTGTAACTCCAGTTCCAGGGGATCCGATGGTCTCGTCTGACCTCCAAGGGCATTGCACACATAAAATAAAAATATTTTTTAAAAAATTCAGACTTGGGGAGAGAGTTCAGTAAATAAAGTGCTTGCTAGGGAAAACCTGAATTTGAGCTTCAGAATCTACTTAAAAAGATTTGAGTTTGAACTTTTAGAGCCTAAAATTTAAAGGGCAATTATTGAGAAATAAAGACCATACAACAGGTATCTTCTATCAAAGTTGCTTAATAAACACAAAAACAAAGAACTAGAAAGCAGCTTAAACATCTCTATATATGAATCAGGTTCATTGTAGTTTCAAACTTCATGAAGCTTGTATTACTGTGTAAAAACTGCTAGCAGGACAAACCAGTACAGGAAATAGCACGTGTAGTTTGGATCAAGCTAAGAACTATTGAAAGAGGAGGAATAAAGGAACAGAATATGTAGGCATATGGGATTTTCTCCAAAGATAGCAATGATTCTCTTTGAGGAGTCTTTATAGTTGGTTAACAGTTTCACTTTAATAGGTTTATGACCGCTTGTTTTAGACCTGCTGATTTAAACTGCAGTCAGCTTGAATTTTGTGATCCAAATAAATAAAAGTTGAAATGATGTCCTGGTCTCTAATTTGAGGACAGTTATGTACTTAGTATAAAAGCATAAATTGTTCCTTTTGAATTGGAAAACAACTTTTTTCTTCTTCCTTTCTTTTTCTTGTAAACAGCAGTTCTGTGGTGTTCTTGGTCACACATTTATGGAGTTTCTGAAGGGCAGTGGAGATTACTGCCAGGCACAGCACGACCTCTATGCAGACAAGTGAACTGTAGAGATTCATTACTACTCCACCAAGAAGCCCCCGTAAGAGTGGACAACCTGGACACAGACGTGTTGAATTGAAGCCTTCAGAGCGTTTTACAAGAGCTTAGACCTGGATGGGGTAAACCTCAGTGCACTTCCTTTGTCTTGCCTCAGTATTACTGGATTGAAGAGTTGTTGAATTTTGAGGGGGCTTTGGGTTTTTTTTTTTTTTTTTTGGGCACATTTTTGTATCAGTTTTTTTTTTTTTTTAATTCTTTCATAACCCTATTGAGCGATTTCTTTTTTTTTCTTTTTCTTTTTTTAAACTAAATCAACATGGCTCGAATGAACCGCCCTGCTCCTGTGGAAGTCACATACAAGAACATGAGATTCCTTATTACACACAATCCAACCAATGCAACCTTAAACAAATTTATAGAGGTAAGATACACTTTTTATGTCTCAAATTGATTGTATTTTAGTAATATCTATGAAATACTACTTTCAAAGATACAGTTCCAGTACCCAGAAAGGAAATGTCATTGTGTTCATTAGGGTAGAGATGTGTTATTTTAAACATTTAGTGTGTCTTTGAGTTTGTTTTGTTTAAATTTATGGGGTTATAGGGTGGAAGCTGCCATTTGTGGATTTTGATATATCTGTGTACCCTAGTGCCACTTAGTTTGATGTTATGAATCCATTTTTCAGCTGTTAATTTTGCTTCTTTCTAATGGCAGATAAGTGGCCTGTGCTGTCTCTATCTACCCACTTGTACTAGGATTTGGAAGAAGTGTAATGCTGAGTAATTTCTCCAGGCGAAGATTTGTGAATTAGCATAAATATCTACAGGTGCTCAGAGATAGCAGAGGGAAGCACTTCAGTGGTACCTGAAAAAATTCCAACTACGAAATTTTTTTTCCTTTGGTCTTTTTGAGACAAGGTCTCCCCATCGCCCCAGCTGGCCTGGAACTCACTATGTAGATCAGGCTGGCTTTGAACTCAAAGAGATCTGCCTGTCTCTACCTCTCCCGAATGCTGAGATTAAAGGCATGCGCCTCCACACCCGGCCCCAACTACAAATTTTAATGTCAGGAGAACTTAAGTTGTAACTACTAATGCCTGTAGGTTTTCCCATTATACAGTTTAAAACAATTCTGGATTTCATAGATTTAAGACTTTAGGGTGAGCCATGCATGGTGGTACATGCCTTTAGTCCCATCACTCTGGAGATAGCTGGAGGCCAACCTGGTCTGCATAGCAACTTCTAGGCTAGCCAGGGCTTCATAAGGAGACCTTGTCTCAAAAAAATAAATAAAAAATGGGGGGATTGATCTTCAGACCCCACATTTTAAAAGCATACATAGTGATATGTGTTTGTAGTCCTAGCAATGGGGGAGCAGAAACATGTGGATCCCTAGGACTCTGGCAGCCAGTGAGAGATCCTGTCTCAAAAAACAAGGTGGATAACAATGAAGTTGATCTGTGGTTTGCATACATAAGCACCCATTCACACACAAAATACTTTAAAGGAATAAAAGTATGATTGAGTCAGATCCCAGTACTTGATTGGTTATAAATCCTTGAATTTTATTCACTTTTGTTAATAGCTTCTGACTCTCTTTTGCTAGCATTACATCCAAGTCTATCCTATGATATCTTCCAGGCTAGCTTGTGTTACCATTAGTATAAACAGCTACAATATATGAAGGGACAAAGGATTTTGTTTTTTTTTTCTAACACTAAAAAAAAGTATGGTATGTTTTGTGTTCTTTTTCCCATTATACTGTTTTGTTATTTTAAAACAAGGTTTGGCTCCATGTTGAGCATACATAGGTTCTGCCAAGTCTTTCTGTTTACCAGCTACTGATCAATAAAATGGTAAAATGACAAGTGATAATGATGCAGTTACAAAGACCTTAATTTTAAAATGTTTATTTTATCCAGGAACTTAAGAAATATGGAGTTACCACAATAGTAAGAGTATGTGAAGCAACTTACGACACTACTCTTGTGGAGAAAGAAGGCATTCGTGTTTTTGTAAGTGCTTAGAGTTTTTGTCTTTTCAATTCTGTGCTGTAAAAGTACATCACAGTAAATCATAGTTCAAAACGCTTGATTTTTTTTTTCATTTAATTATATGTATGTGGGTATCTTTGTGTGAATATATGAGCATGTGCAAGAGGCCAGAGAGTCAGATACCACTGGGAGTTGTGGTTGTGAGCCACGTGGCGTTGGTGCTGGCAACCTAACTGGTGTCCTGCAAGATCAACCGCCACTCTTAACCACTGAGCTATCTCTCTAGCTCAAGAAGCTCAGTTTATACAGTATTAATCACATGGTCTAACATTTTGTTTGTTTGCCTTTTGAGATTGGGTCTTCCTATACAGCTGGAACTCTTGAATGTGTAAGTGTCTGAACCACTTCTTTTTTGATTCAGGATTGGCCTTTTGATGATGGTGCACCACCATCCAACCAAATTGTTGATGACTGGTTGAGTCTCGTGAAGATCAAGTTCCGTGAAGAACCTGGTTGTTGCATTGCTGTCCATTGTGTTGCAGGCCTTGGGAGGTAAGAAGATCACTTAATTTGTTTATAACTAAAGGTCTGACTTGATAATTGATAATACAGTACTAATACTTTTTTCTCTTGGATAGGATTGAACAAGTGCTCTAACATTGTGCTATACTTTTAGCTTCCCAGCCCTCTTTTAAAAAATTATTTTTTGTGTGTGTGTATATGAGTGTATTGCCTGCATATGTGGAAGTACCCTCCTGTTATTCAATGCCCAAAGGTTAGAAGAAGGCTTCAGATCCCCTGGAACTGAAGTTATGGACAGTTGTTAGCCACCATGTGGGTGCTGGGAATCAAACCTGGGTCCTCTGCAAGAGCAGTCAGTGCTCTTAACTGCTGAGCCACCTCTCCCGCCCTCTTTACTTTTTATTTTGAGATCTTCTGTTCCTCTTGAACTCACTTTGTAGCCCAGGCAGGTCTTGAAATTGCAAGCTTACTACGTGAGCCTTCTAAGTAGCTGAGATTACAGGCCAATAGCAGTATACCCAGTTCTAAGATTTTTAATAGAAGGCCAACATTGAAATCTGGACATTGCATACATGGGGTAGTTGTACTTCTAGATTTGGGAATATATGGGTAATGAATTTTGTAGGATTTAATTTGGGGGGAATGTTATTTATTAATTTTTTTACTTTTCCAGAGCTCCAGTGCTGGTTGCCCTAGCATTAATTGAAGGTGGAATGAAATATGAAGATGCAGTGCAGTTCATAAGACAGTAAGTAATGGACTTGCCTCTTTCATGCCCTCTTGCAGTTCCTTGTTAAATTTCTGAGTTTAAGTAAATTACAAATTATGCATCAATTACCATTTTTTAACATTTATTTTTATGTGTATGAGTGTTTTGCCTGTGTGTATGTAAGAACACCATGTGTGTGCATTGCTCATAGAGGCCAGATGGTGTTGTATCCTCTGAAACTGGAGTTAAGGATGGTTGTTAGTTGCCATGTGGGTGTTGGGAACCCAACCTGGGTCCTCTGAGCCATCGCTCCAGACCCTCAAGCATCATTTTTAAGATATTAAGGCCCAGCACCACCATTACTACCACCACCTCCTACCCATATCCTATTTTTTGCTCATGATTTGTTGATATGCTTTGCTTTGAATTTTGGTTCAGTATGTTACTAATTTACATATTACCAAAATATTTTCAAACCAAGAAGATCTTTTAAAAATGCACTAATAAAAGTCAAGTAAAACCTGGTACATATGAGTGCCCTAGATAGACAGCCTTTTGTTTGGCTTTTGTAGTCACCTTCCTTACTACTAGAAACATCTTTTTTTTTTTTTTCTATTTAAATGTCTTGATTTTAATCAGTTTTCTTCAGTGTGCTCAGGCCTTTAACGACATCTAGCAGATCACAGAGACCGTAAGTTTTGAATGTCGTTGAATCATGAGTAAATGTTAAGAGACAGCCACAGCACTTCAGTAGCATCTAGATCTCACACACAGATTTAAGAAATTTGTAACTTGCGTGTACAAAGTAAAAATTTCGAAGGAGAGAGCCATTTATGGACCCCGTGTCCTAGGCAGTGGAGTAACCCTTTTCTGAAGGGGCATATTTAACTGTACCAGGAGCTGTGAGAAACATCATCTTTTTAACATCTGTCATCATAATTACTGTTGTGGTTTTCATTCCAGAAAGCGTCGTGGAGCTTTTAACAGCAAGCAACTTTTGTACCTGGAGAAGTACCGTCCTAAAATGCGGCTGCGCTTCAAGGATTCCAATGGTCATAGAAACAACTGTTGTATTCAATAAACTGGGGTGCCTGACGCCATTGCCTTGGAAGTGGAACTTCGGATGGGACCCAGTTTGTCATACATAATTAGCCAACATGTTGGCTTGAATAAGTCTAATGAAGCTTCCACAGGAGTATTGAACCAGTGTTACCAGGCCGTGCAAGCTTGACAGGATTGCAACCTCTGTGTTTGGGTTACGATTGGCCTGTTTGGACACTTAGCAAAAGATTTTTGCTGGTCAGCAATTAAAATGTGCTTATTATTTGTACCAATTGACCGTTCCCAAAATTCTATGGTATCGAGTTATGTCTTTAAATGTATTCCTGTGCCAGAATCTTATCAATAAATAAGGGATTTAGAACAATTAGGTGCCAAAATACCCAGCACAAAACTTACATATTTTTAGTATCATGTAAAACCAAAATCCCAGGACCTAAGAACACTCTAGACCTTCCATGGTTTATTCCTTCAGTCATTTCAAACACTGTAAGGCCTCTCTGGTTATTCGCCTGTTTGCTCTGTTTACATCTCCCACACTCATACCAGGTTTGCTTAGCCATGGAATTTTTTTTAACCAGGTCTTATGGTGATTATTTAATGTCTTTCTATGTCTTATGTGCTGTTATGGGAAACCTCCATTTTTTAAAATCTACACTGTTACAGAAGCACATATCTTTAATAATGTCTCCAGACAGAAAGCCTTATAGTTTAATTTAATGTTTGCACTCAGAGGTGCAGCTTAACAGGGAGGGCCTGAGAAACAAATGGGAGGGGCTATTAAATATTTTTAGTAAAATGTTGCCTTTGTCTTGTGCAGAACATGTAGAATATGCTCTTTAATTTAGCAAATATTTTTAAAAGGTAGAGATGCATCATTGTAGCTAAACAATTCTTAATCAAAATTTCTAAAATTCTTGTAAATTTTTTTCTGTACCTATGGGAAATTGTTTTGCAACTTATTGTTTGAATTCTGGTTTTTCTCCCTTCTCTCCCTAACCTCTCTTGCAAAAAAAGTGGGTCCTGCTAATGAACTGAGCAGACATCTAATATTTTATATGCCTTTTGAGCTATGTAACTTAATAATTGGATACTTGATAATTTGTTTTATTATGTAATCAATAAAATGGTGATGTGTATTAATGTTAGTTCAACCATATATTTATACTGTCTGGGAATGTGTGGTTATAGTTCTGTGGGAGAAATAATTTGTCAGTGTTCACCAGCTTGTAAAAACTTAGTTCGAGAGCTTAAACATCTAAATAAATAATGAAATGCATTTATCGTCACAGAGGTTGTTTTGCTTAAAGTTAACTTATTTTGTAGAAAGCAATGAATTGCACTTAATACCATTTTAGTTAAGGTTATGAGTACGGTTTAATAAGCGCTTTTCATTCTAAATTTTCCTTTTAAAAGGTCTAGATGATTTTGAACCAATTGAATGTTGTGCACTGAGGAAAAAGCTTATAATAGTAAACTTTGATTTTTTTAGAATTCCTTTCCATTATTAGCAGTTTTGTGCATCTTCAAGTTTCTCATTGTCAATTACATATATTTTGAAACTTTTGAACCTGAGTATTTGGCACATCAAGGCTTGATAAATTTTGTTTCAGTAATATGAAATGCTTCATTTTAATAGTTGATGTTCACTTTAAGTGGACAGGTGTCTAATTTTTTAAATAATAGTTATAAATGTAAAACACTCAATTGAAAAAGTGATACTCTATCTTATGGTTTAAAGAATTTGTTTATTTCCTCAACCCAGCTTAGCACTTAAATACTGACCATAGTTCTTTAAACCAGAGGCCATTGGTATTTGGGATAATTTAACTTGAGCTTTTATTGTGCTTTAAAACATCAGTTTACTCTTAGAAGGTAGTCTTGAGTAATTGGTTATTATTGATATACTATTACCACACAGCCCATAAAGCAACATTCATGCTTATGAAGAGAAAAGGTGCCATGTTGATTGCTGAAAAAAATATCTAAGTTTGAAAAGTTGGATTAATTTGCTGTGTTTGTATATATGGTGCTAAAAATTACTTTGCTTTATAAACTTATCTGTACAGTGTACATGATGAGATTTGCTTTTTATCCAGATATTTTGTATCTGTAAATGCAGGAATACCTGTGATGATATCCCCCCAAAATTTCCTTGTGTGATAAGAATTTAAAGAATTAGGAGCTGAGCTCATCAATGCAGGAACATGTCTGATGGTGTTACAAAATTTGGTTACTTAGGGGACTGAGGGTGTAGTTCAGTGGATAGTGCTTGCCTAGCATCCAGGAAGCCCTGTGTTTGATTCCCAGCACCATATAAACTAGGCATAGTGGTGCAGGGGATCAAAAAGTCAAGGTCATCCTTAGCTACATAGTTTGAGGCCAAACTGGGCTACATGAAACCCTGTTTCTAAATAAATACATAGAATTTGCTTTCTTGGGCTTTGATACCTCCAGTGGATAATGTAAATAGTGACTAGCTACCCTGGCTTCTCTATAGGAACTGTGATGTTACTGACACAAGTAATGTGATTACTGAATCATGAGAAAATCAGTCTCCCGGTGAACAGGAAAACCCTAGAAATAGGTGCCATTGGTCATTTTGCAATGCTGTACAACCATTTATCATTGCTCCTAGTTCCCATTGAGCAGTGCTCGCTTATCCACACTTAACACAGCTCCATTATCTAGAAGCAGTCTGCCCAGGCATGTGATCACATCTGGATATGTCCTAAGTGATACACTGTGGTTCCCTCCATTAGCTATAGAATCCCAGTCTCAAGGGATCTAAATGTTAATTGTATTCTGACAAATACCTAACTGTGCCAGGCATGTAGAGTACTGCAAATAAGTACTCCTTGCCGTAAGAATGCTTTGTATTGAAGTTTCAGGAAATGTAATTTGGTGAGAATGCTTCAAATGGAAGTGTCTTTTTTAATTTGTAAACGCAAGTTTAAAAAATACATGAAGTAGTGTCAGCTGTAATGTTTATACTACTACACATTGATTCCCTGAATTAATGTTTGTGTGTATGTGCCTCCTTAAACCTGAATTGAAAATTAAAGACTGGTTTAAAAGTGTCTGATACTCAATGTTTCTGCATTAACTTTTGGGTAACCATACCAAATAATTGAAAGAAAAGTGAAATACTTTCACTTCCAATAGATTGAGCCAGTTTATGTGCATTGGGAATAGAATTGACAGTAATTTTATGATTAGATACATACTGCCATAATGCATAGAGCTGTGGCCAGCTACCACTTAATGTCGACACCTTCATGGTGGCTCACAGTCGTCCCTAGTTCCAAGGAATCTGATGCTCTCAGCTTTCCAGGGCACCAGGCACACAAGTGATGCATATACATACATGCAGGTAAAGCACTTATACACATGAAAAGTAATAAAATCGGTAAAAAATTACATGGTCATTTGAATCAAGGCAGGAGGGATGACTGATTGCTCCACACCTGAGTTTGGATTCCAGTCCCTATGGAGCAAGCCAGGCATGAGCTCACCCCAATGCACTTACACATAAAATTTTTAAATAGAGCTAATGGCGGGGTGGAGGGCGGTGTGCTGGATAGATGGCTCAGCAGTTAATAGCACTTGTTGCTCTTACAGGGAACCCAGGTTTGTGCCCAACATCCACATGGTAGCTAACAACTATCCTTCAGTTCCAGAGGACCAACAGCATCCTCTTCTGGACTTCCGTGGGCATTGTACATGTGGGTTCACTTCTATACATGCAGGCAACACACAAATTGTATTTTTAAAAAGCCAATGGGATTTGGATATGTGTCCCACAATTTTTACTCAATTCTCTATACTCATTAGATAAATGCTTACCCTGTAAACTCATCAAATGTTAATAAGATCCCCAGAGGCTAAAGAGATAACTCGGAGGTTAAAAGTAGTAGATGTTCTTTGCAGAAGACCCTGGTCGAATCCCAGCACCCACACAGCAGCTAACAACTGTCCCTGTAACTTCAGTCCCAGGGGATTTGATGACACCCTGTTCTGACCTGTGGGCACTGTGACACAGGTGCACTTACATGCAGTCATAATACACACACACCACACACACACAATGAAGAATTCAGACTGTCAGGCATGGTGGCACATAACTAAAACCCCAGCATATAGAAAGTAGTGGCAGGAAGTTATCCAGTTTGAGGTCCTGTCAGGAAAAGGAAAAGAAAAAAAAAAATGGAAGGGAAGATAAAAGGGATGGATAGAAGGAGGGATGGAAGGTGAACTGGTTATGATATACTTGCTTGCCATCCTAAAACTTGAGAGGTGGACACAAGCAGACCAGGAGTTCAAGGCCATCCTCCAGTTCATACCAAGTTCAGAGAAGCCTGTACTACATGAGACCTTGTCTCAGGAAACAAAAATAGAAATCAAAAAGGAAAAAGAAGGGGGAGGGGAGGGGAGAAAGGAAGAAGAATCCTGCCCGAGGGAAATGCCTTGTCTAGATTCCCCAGTTCTTAGCAGAGCAACAAAACTAACATGGTGACACCTGCAACTTTACTAGCCAGACCAGCCAGTAGTCTCAACACTTAAAAATCCATTTATTTCCTTTGCAAAAGACTCGGAGAATGCTGTGTCCAGATATTTCTCTAATTTGAATGCAGTAATAAAATCAATGAGCTAAGGAAAAAGCCCTATAAAATTTTTTGCTCTTTTTACTAGCCAGTATTTTGTACATATAATTTTAAAAATATTTTATATATTTTTTTATTTTATGTGTATGAGTGTGTTTCCTGCATGTATGTTTTGCACCTGTGTCCCAAAATGCTCTTGTAGTTCAGAAGAGGGCATCGGATTCCCCTGGAACTGGAATTTCCGGCAGTCATTAGCTGCCATGTGGGCGCTGGGAATAGAACCGAGGTCCTCTGCAAGAACAGACAGTGGTCTTCACCACTGAGCCATCTCTCCAGCCCAATATATAATAATTTTTAAAACATTTTTATTTTGTGTGTGTATGAGTGTTGTGCCTGTATGTGTGTATGTGCACCACATACATGCAATGCTCTCAGGCCAGCAGATCTCCTGGAAAGGAATTATGGATAGTTGTTAGTTACCATATGATTGTTGGGAATGAAACCCAGGTCCTCTACAAGAATAGCTATTAACCACCAAGCCATCATTCCAGCCCCTGTATATAACAATTTTTATTGTGCATGCTAGGATTTATTTGACATTAAAGGTCAGGTTGATTAACTTTTCAATTCAATATATATGTCTCAGAAGAAACACTTTTTAAAAGTATTTGTTGTCTTGTTTCTCCAGTCCAGGATGGCCTCAAACTCCCTAGATAATAGAAGATGACTGAACTTCTGATCCTCCTGCCTCCACTTCCCAAGTGCTAGAATTACAGACATGTGTGCCAATGCCCAATTTATGTGGTGCTGGAGATGGAGCCCAGGGCTTCCTCATGCTAGGTAGGCACTCTGTCAACTGAGCTGCATCTCCAGTCCAGAAGATTTGCTTTTCTTTTTAGAAAGTACGAAAAAATTCTCTGGCTTCTTAGCAGAGACAAGTTCCAGCTAGAGAGAGCAATTCAGTTTCTCAGCGAGAGTCAGAAATTGAGTAGGCCTCATTGCATGAACCTTACATCTCAGGTGCTGGGCACTAAGTAATAAGGATACATTTGAATACTGCCATTGTGGGACTTGAGTAGCAAGTCAAGATTTAAACCTGAACTGCTAGGTATAGACATTAGAGGTACTGTTAAACAACCTCCCTGTTTGGATGCAAGGGTGGAGAGATAGCTCACCAGTTAAGAGCACTGGCTGCTCTTGCAGAGGACCCGACTCTCTCTTCTGACCTCTATGGGCATTGCACAACACAGGTGTACTTGCATGCATACAGGCAATATTCTCATACACATAAAAAATAAAAAATGTGTGTGTATTCAAATAACTTTCATTGGTCGCTATCAGCAGAATACCATTAAAATATAGATTTAAAGAAAGAAACTATTTAGACATTAATTACATAATTGTTATAGTTATGCTTAATAAACTATGTATGAAAAAAAAATCAAGGCAAATTTGATGTCACTTGATGGTGCTTTAAATATTCAAATTCTCCACAGAAGTACAGCTCAGAGAGCAAACTCTTTTAATGGTTTTTATTTTTTATTTTACATGTATGAGTGTTTTCTTTACATGTATGTAAGTGCATGTATGTTATGCAATTCTGTCAGAGACCACAGAGCATTGGATCCATTGTACTGGAGTTTCAGATGATTGTTAGCCTCCACATGGGTGCTGGGAACCAAATCCAGGTCCTCCACAAGAGCAACCAGTGCTCGGAATTGCTGAGCCATCTCTCTAGTCCTGAGATCAAACTCTTGACAGGATGAACTCTGCAAAAAGCACTGGTAGTAAGCTGCTTGGCTGACTATACATACAAATCAGATCGTATCTGGCATGTAGAGGATCTAGATTTGCTAACAATTTCTACTTGCAAAAATCATTCTGCCCACTAATTCTACTTCGTTATGATAAATGAAGAGGCCACTGTGATTTACCTCTACCAATGTTGACAATATAATTAGTGAAAGTTACTTCAACTATTTCTTAATTTTGTCTTTTAAGATTGTTCAGTTAGGATCCAAATAAAGTATCATATACTGTAATTTGTTGACATGCTTCTTTAAATTTATAGATACTCCTTATTTTCTTTGCAATTTATTTGTTGAAATAAATTCAGAATGTTCCACATTCTGAATTCCACTAAATATATTCACAATATTATGTAATATGATCCTCTGTGTTTGGTATTTTCTGTAAATTGGTAGGGCAATGGCTTGTTTAGATCAAGGTTGTTGTGTTTGCTTGTTTTACTTTGAAACACTATGTCCTCTCAGTTTTTTGTTTGGTTTGGGGTTGTTTTGTTGTTGTTGTTGTTTGTTGTTTTTGTTGTTTGTTTTCATCTTTTTGAGACATGGTCTCTCTGTAGTCCCAGCTGGCCTGGAACTCACTATGTAGACCAGGCTGGCCTCAAACTCACAAAGTTCCACCCGCTTCTGCTTCTGGAGTGCTGGGATTAAAGGCGTGCACCAACATGCTCAACTTTGTTTTTGTTTTATAAAACAGTGAGTGGCTTTTGTTGTTTGTTTGTTTGATTGGTTGGTTGGTTGATGGCTTTTTTTTTAATGTGTTCCAAGCTGGCCTTGAATTCACTATGATCCTCCCACCTCAGCCTCCTATGTGCTAAGATTACAGGAGTGCACCATAGGAATTACCTATGTATGTAGTACTTTTACCAGGAGGCACATTGTGTCTAAGTAGCTGTCTTTTGATGATACTACTGGTAGTGATTAATAATATAACATTAGGAATTGAAGATATTATTCTCACTTTATAAGGGCTTCTTTTTAATTAATTGAATAAACCTGGGGAGGAGAGAGAGGGTAGACAGTGTCTCATTATGGCTTCCCTGGGTGCCGGGGTTAAAGGTTGTGCTACCATATTGAGCAGATTAATTTTTTGTGTGTGTGTGGTCTTTTTGAGACAGGGTCTTCCTGTAGCCCCAGCTGTCCTGGAACTCACTATGTAGACCAGGCTGGCCTCAAACTCACAGAGACCTGCCTGCCTCTGCCTCCCGAGTGCTGGGGTTAAAGGCGTGTGCCACCACACCCCACATGCAGATTAATTTTTTTTAAGGAGAATTTTCGTGGGGCCAGAGTAGGAGTAGACCTTAGGAGTAGAAAGCATGCTCAGCATACTCCAGGCCCTGGGTTCCACATGGGTGGCCAGGGGAGGGGGGAGTGAGAAAAAGAGAGAGCCCTTAATTATCTCTCTCTATATATAAGAAAGGTGGAATACATATATGAAACATATTGTTTGTTAGTTTTCAAGGGAATGAGTTAGTTTTGGGTCATAGTCTGAGAATAACCAATAAGAGTAGCTTCTTTTAAAAAGCATCATGGGGCTAGGGAGATGACTCAGTTGGTAATGTGACTGCTGCATAAGGAGGACTTGAGTTGGTTTCCAGCACCACGTGCTAGTCTCTTCAAGCTGACAATAGAATTTGGGAGTTTTATTTTTGTTTTTATTTGAGGCACTGTAGCCC